TCTGTACTCTTCCCAATAAAAGCACAATGAGAGTCAGTGACTAGAAGCCACAGTCAAATTTGTTTTATTTCAAATTTAAATGTGTTTCTAACAAAGGAGTGATTAGCTATGAAAATAGACTGTCGTGTAAGCATGTTTAGTGATGGATATCATCTCTAAAAACATCAACACATACAGCTTAGCTCAGCCCAGTTACAGGGTTAATTACAGATGTAACTGGGTGAAATGTAAAGACCTGTTTGAGGAGAGCCAGAGGAAATCATCTCATGGTTCCTTCTGCCCTTGAATGGGAGAACAAATCAATTTAATACAGTTGCTTTTACTAGCTGGAAATGGCTCCTCTGAACAAGAGAAATATTCTGATGAGCAGATCCCAGGTTTTTCACAGGCAGTGTTTGTTAGCCTGAATGGTTTTTGCTTTTTCAAGTGGTGTGTGTTTTGCATCTGAAGATGCCTGGTCTCTGTGACAAGCACAGAAATATCCTAGTGATGCTTTTCAAGAGTCATCAAATCAGTGCTCAGGCAGAAGGGCAGACAGAGCAGTTGTAACTCACTTTTTAACTCCCCTCAGCTTGTCGGAGTAACTGATACTGTTTTGCTGACAGAGTTTCAGACAGTGCTCTTTTCTGCTCTTTTCAGAGATCCGTAGTTTTCAATGAATACTGCTTAAATAAATCATCACCTCTTTTTTTCTTTCTTCCTGGATTACAGTGCTTTATTTGTTTCCTACTTATCTTTGGAAACGTGGCTCTGCAAAGGTTCTCACAAATTCTGACGTGCTTATCCTGATGTCCTTTCATCAAGAAGTTTTTTAACTGTTTCACATTAACAGACTCATTTTGCTTTTTCAGTTTACATCGCAGCAAATTTATGTAAGCTTAGTAATAATTTGATAAATGGAATTTAGTCACTTTTCACACGTGTTTGACACAGCACTAGTGAATTCCAACCTAATTTCCTCACCCCACAATGACCTGCAGTCTAACCTAGATTCTCTGGCACATTATTGCTTTCCGTTTTACAGCTTGACTATATTGAGTGTGGTAACTGTGTAAAAAAAGTCTGGCAGCTCTTTTCTCTGCTCTATTATTTAGTGACCTGCCTTAGCCCGAATGAAGGTCATGGAAAACTGTCTTCATGATAATGGTGTCCCATTTTTCCATATAATTTTTAGAAATTCTTTAATTAACCTTTTTCCTGTTTCTTTGAGAAACTGGGTTTTTTTTCTAGTCCCTCATGCACCACTGGGAAGTAGATCCACTGGCAAATGCAACAATTTTTTTGGTTTTGTGTTGGTTTTTTTACATTTTTGCTATAATTCTTATATTTTTTTTCCATAATTTTTCTATAATTCCATAGTACATGCTATAATTTTGTAAGCACAATTATTTTTCCATGTAGGTATATATCATTTAATGTAATTGTGTCTTAATGTTTTTTTCCCCCCATTTAGAGCTCTTAGTATAAGTCTATATGTATAGAATCACAGAATGATGAAGGTTGGAAGGAACCTTAAAGATCATCAGGTTCCAACCTCCCTGCTGTGAGCAGAGACACCTGCAGGGCACCAAAGCCTCAACCAGCCTGGCCTTGAACACCTCCAGGGAGGGGCTTCCACAACCTCCCTGGGCAATCTGTTCCAGTTCTACACCCAGTCTAACCTGACAGCTCCTTGACCAGAAGCTTCAGAAAAGCCTTTAGCATCCCATGTTGTACAGTAGCACCTCACATTGCACTGCCAAGGGAATAAGGGATTATTTTCTTACATGCCTTCAAGGTACCTGTCTTGTCACACATAGAGTTCCTAACTGCAGCTGTTGGAGACTGATGTCTGCGAATGACTCTGAAGTCTTCAATTCAGGCTTTAAAGTTGAAGACTTAAAGGGTTTTGGCTTACAACTTAGCAAAACTGCACATACAGACCCTTGTTGATGCTCTGAGCACTTCAGTGCTCTGGTTCCTGCTGGTGCTACGGATGCAGCTTCAGTATTTGCAGAAGGCAGGAACATAGTGGTTGGTTATTCCAAGAAGCTTGACTAGGTTTGGAAAAAGCAAAAATTCTTTGGCATTCTTCCTTGAATCTCATTCTAAAATAACCCTGGTGCCATGGTGACAGGACTAGTCACATGGCTACTTCTCCCAGGGATCTCATCTTGTGCAGCCCCATATGTTCTCAAGGTGTGGGTTCCTCCATGTGGTTGCTCCCACCAGGCCTTGGCCAGCAGACCCACCTCTTGCTGTGTCACTGCTGTGCCAGAACAGGCACAGGTCATTGCCAAAGCTGCTCTTCCAGGTTGTGTCTCCTGGCTTGTGATTTGGATGCAATTTCTTCCCAAAAAATGCTTCACTTTTTTTTTTTTTTTTTAACCTAAATATGAAAAGTGGGCAGAGCCAAGGTATGAAAAATGAGTGAATATTCTGCACCCAAGTATAATCTGTTTTATCCTGGAGCTAGCTTTACTTATCTAGAGGTTTATTTAGTTTGAGTTGGAGGGAACAGATTGCAGCAGTTTCCACTCCATGCTTCAGAGGGCTCTTCTCTTGCCTTACCCCATTTACCTTCCTATGGAAGGGGTTTGTGTGTTTGCCTTGGCAATCGACTCATGTTGTTTATTAAAAAACAAAATAAAATCTCAACCACTTGACACAACTGCAGTGAAATTTTCTAGGGCTGTTGTGTAAGAGGAGCTGAGGAATCCCCCTGTGCAACTGCAAACGTGACTTCTCTTTGAAGGGATGCTCCTTGTCTAGGCTGTTGTTCCAGGAAAATTGCTTTAAAGGGGTTTTTACAGCCTCTTGAATGAACTCCTGGTTATTCAGAACAGCCAAACAGTACAAAATTGAGTAGAGAAACAGCACACAGAGCTAACAGCTCTTCACCCAGGGATGTCTTACAAATTTATCTTTAAAGGAGAAAATAAACAACAAAAGAAACCCCAAACTTGCTAGAAACTGAGCAAAGAGAAGGACAACTTAGAAGACCTGGTATGGACTGAAAGTGCAGATGAGTCCATGTTTTTCTCTCACACCACCTGGTTAAATTTCGTTTTGATGTTTGCACTTAAGTTCAGAAAAAATTACTCTAAAAAGTAGGTTTTATATGAAGGGGAATAATGGGACAGCTCAAAAGATAGTTCTTCCCAGGAAACACTTTACCAAGCCATGTTATGTATTCCCTCCTCAGCACCAGCCTCAGAGATCTGGATTCCAAGTGACTCTTTTGGTTGGTTACGATTGGTTTTTTTTTGAGCCAGGACTCGTGCTTGTTTTTCCAGAGGGGATGTTTTTCTGTTCTGTTCCAAGAACACCAAATACCAAAGGTTCTACTAGTTAACTGTATTAGGCTGTGTCATGACAACTGTAAACTTTGTGTATTTCTGTTCCATGGGGAATAATAATTGATACAGCCACTGAAAGCAAGATGTGGAGGTAATTTGCAGAGTAAATGTTTCAAGACTGTAATGAGGAGAAAGGATCTGCCACCTTAAATAAGAACAAAAGAGCTCTCTGCCAGCTTTTGCTTTTTAGTAATACCAAAAAGGGTTAGTTATTCTTCCCTAGTTTTCCAGGGTTTGTGTGGATTACGTTTGAATTTCATTTCTCCTTCACTGGAGCCGAGTGCTGCTGATGGAGCTGTTGGCTCTGGGAAGTGGATGAGGCAGAAGCTGGAGCACAGTGTGTGTGGCAGCTCCTGAGCACTGGGGGGACACTTAGTGCTTTCATGCAAGATAATGTTCCCCATTCCTCAATTCCTCACAGTTAACCTCTTGTGTGAGCACATCCAAATGTATTAATCATCAGCTGTACCTGATCATGCACCTGAATTTATGGCACAAGAAGCTGCCTGTTCTCTACTTACCCTCTGAAGTTTCCCCAAAGAAATAGGATGTCTAATGTAAAAATATATTAAATCCTCACATACTTTTGAGTAGATAAAAGGGAAAATTACAGTCTTTGTGTTAGAAGGTGACATACAAGGCTACAAAATATTCCTCACTGTATGATGTGTAAATGATGCAAGTGAAAAAAACAATGGTCCTGAAAATGTCTGTGTTGAATCCAGTGAATCTGTCAAAGAGGTTTTTGTTGCCATTTGCTTGATTTCATAATGCTGGCTGCAGGCTGGGCAGATTTTCACACAAATAGGGCACAACATACTGTCATTCTGACCTGCAGGAAACCTGCAGTCCTGGCTGGTAGCCCTTCCTTCTTGGCATGTGGCAGACACACTGAACACCTTTTGCTTCTTCACTTAATTTAATTCTTCCATCCCCTGGGCATTATGAAAAGCTGGGTCTTGCAAGACCTTGCAAGTAATTGGAATGAATGTAAATATTTATTAAGTTTGCAAAGGATTTCTAGTCTTCCCTTTAGGACTCTGGGTTGTTTTGGTTTGGTTTATTGTTTGTTGCTGTTGGGTTTTGTTGTTTTTTTGAAGTGAAACAAAGGTAAAGAAAATTATTCTCTCTTCCTCAAGAATTCAAATAGCTGTTTGTATCTATAGTTTTGCAAAGTCCTGGGCATCATGCATCATATCAGACCTCTTAAATGCAAGAGGGCTGTACTGTGGAGTTTACTTGAACTATTCCTTAGAGAAAAAAGGACTCCTGTTCTCATTTCCTTTATTTGACTTTTCCTCACAGAATTAGAATAGGAAATAATCAGTTCTTATAAGTCATTGTTTGCTGATGGAATTTGCTGTGAAACTAGTACAAATCTGTTACATTCAGTGCACTGGTTGTGCTGTGTCTTATTCAGTGTATTTTTAATCTTAGAGCTGTATCAAGTCACTAATAGAATTGTGGCCTTCAGTCATGAAAAACCTCCTGAATACCAGACTGGATACAGTTAAATACTGGGGAAGGTTGTTGTTGGTGGTGGTTTTTTTCATTCTCTTACAAGCGATGTGCTTTGTGAACATGATGATACTGAAGGCTTTTTGTACTCCGGTGTTCTGATTTGGAAATGCAGTCAATGTAGTTGTCTTGTCTTCTTTTTAGGTTGGTGGAACCAAAGCTGGAGTTGTGCGCTTCTTGGGAGAGACTGACTTTGCTAAAGGGGAATGGTGTGGAGTAGAACTGGATGAACCCCTGGGGAAGAATGATGGAGCTGTTGCTGGAACAAGGTTAGTCTGTCATCAGGTAGCAGCCCCTTAAAGATTCTGCATCTCTGTATATTCTGTTTCAATTTTTTAATATTTTACTTGAAGCTTTCTATCAAGAGAGGTAGTTAGGCTGTAAGTCTGACTGCCTGCTGATGGAGGGTAGGGAACATTAGACACTGATTTGAATTTTGTGACACCTACACATCTCTGGAAGTCTGCATCAACCCCACCTCCAGGGGATTAGTTGATCTCTCCTACTCCCATGTGAATTTTACTCATAGACTGGTAATGGAAAACACTATTTCCTGCCTTTTCAACATCTGCTTTGTTTCTCAGCTTGGGATGAATGCTCAATTAAGAGAGTATCTCTGGGTCTCTAATAGCTAGACTTAAGGGAAATCTTCCTGAAAGCTCCTCTACCAATAGTTGCCTCATAGGAAAGACTGGGAACAGTATTAGCTGCTTCCTAAGTCATGCTTAGAAAACATTAATTCACACCACAATTGTAACATGTAAGGCATAAGGAACAGCCCTTTAACTCATTAAAAAGAGGTTTTACAAGGATTGTGCTGCCTTAACAGAGGTGACCACAACTTAAAATTTTAAGTGGCTTTTGTTTATATTTAACCAAAGATAGTTTTGAAAAATGAAATGTGCATACATGTATAGGTATGTATGTTATAAAATATAAAAATACTTGATTTAATTAAAATCTGATTTTATTGTAACTCTCTGCTATCACATTTGTTGTTGGCAGCTCAGAGGAGTGTATACAAGAGGAGAGCTATGCATGTTAAACTTTGAGTGACATTTTTAGGAAAGAAAGAGCTCTAGCTCAAGACCTTTCTCTATTGAGTTTCTGCTGTAACAGTGATGTTCAGCCTCTCAAAGTCCCATTTCCAAATATAGTGTTAAAAAAATAAAACTGCAATCTAATATAGTTGAGGTTGTCACTAGCTGTTACCCTTTTCTTGAATATTTTAGACTATTGATCTAGAACTCTGGGTGAAGCCAAGACAGAAATCAGTGTTTTATTCTCATCTACCTGCTTTGCTTTTTCAAAGGTATTTTCAGTGCCAGCCCAAATATGGTTTGTTTGCTCCAGTCCACAAAGTTACCAAGATTGGATTCCCATCAACCACACCAGCCAAAGCAAAGACAACTGTGAGGAAAGTGGTTGCAACTCCCACAGCCCTGAAACGCAGCCCAAGTGCATCTTCCCTGAGCTCCCTCAGTTCTGTGGCCTCTTCAGTAAGCAGCAAGCCCAGCCGTACAGGACTAGTAAGCTTCTTTTGCTACTGCATGCTTCACATTCCCCAGCAGGGATCCACCTGGCACTTGCCTCTGGCCTACTTGCCTAAATTGAGACTAGAACACATCTTGGGGAGGGCACAATAAATGGACATTTCATTGTGCTCAGTGTTTCATTCAAAGCATGCATGAAGGAAGGAAATCTTAGCTAGCCCTGAAGAGCAGCTGAGTGTTGGAATGTTGAAGCTTTTCCCTGGTTAATTCAGTCTAACTGAGTGATTGCAAATAAGAAAGAGGCTTATGATGCCAACAAACTGAAAAGGCATCAGTGTTCTCTGACTGGAATCTCTATTTACTTTTTAATATTCCCAGCACTACCTCTGTCATATGGGGTTTGTGTTTGAGGATCTGGTATGTACTAAAGCTTCCACAGATTGAGCTTTTTTTATTAAGCATGAAGCTTCAGAATGTCTAAAATGTAAAAGATTTTCCTTTTTTGTTCAAGAGATGAGTCAGCTGAGAAATACAGAAGTACTGATTGTTGAGTCTTTGCTGACAAGAAGCCTCTTTCTTTTCTTTTGGATTTGGTTTTAATCCTGTGAATTCTTAAAGGCTGAATGTTGCAAAGTGCAGTGGCTCAGGTGAATTCTAACACTACTAATTCCACCTAATACACTTCCTGTGGATTCTTCTAAAGTTACTCTGTTACATAAATGTCCTCATCTTGGGTTGCAGCAGCAAAACAGAAATCTGGGAAAGCTGAATTTTAAAAAGTCTCTCGTTTATGGCAATTAAAAGCATCAAAATAATTGTTGGGGTTTTTTTCCAGTCACCCTAGATTTTTACCTTTTTTAAACCAAAGTACATAGATACACCTAACTAGCAGGAGAGGAGATTATCCTAACCCCACTGGTCTGGAATGGGTGGCTGGCACACTGTCCCACTGACCAGCCAGTGACTGCAGCCCTTCAGCACCAAAGCAGATTACAAATAAGCAGAGGTCAGCAGTTGGCCAGGGCAACAGGATTAATACGTCCTCGCAAAAAGCATCAGGGATTCTTTTTATTTGGCTCAAACAGTGGGATTTTTGCTTCTTCCCTTCGGGAAGGTGCACTTCTAGCTGCAGAGTGCCCTCTAGTTTGAAATGGGTGCAGGGACATGCAGTGCTGCCTCAGGTTCAGGGCAGGCTTCCTGAGCTGATGTGGAACATTAATATGGGCCTCCAGTTTTATTCCATGTGCTGTGATACTTTAAGCAACAAGAGGTTACAGTTACACATTATAAATGTCTACAGTATATTTGCTTTTTTTCCCTCTGTGTTGTGCCCTGGGGCTTCTGCATGTTTTGGGCCATCATATATAAAGCTTCTGTAATCCATTATTTCTGGAATTAAAAGTCCAGCTTTCTTCCAACTCTTTTTCTCAGGCAACACAAGCATTTGATTACCACCCAAATTAAAATGACTGTCAAAATAATTCTGACACTTCTTCTTTAAAAGTTAAGCTGCAGAAGAAACAGGATTTCCTGAAATCCATTTTGACACAGCAGACTTTTCTTGCTCCAGTTCCTAGGAAAATTAGAGCTTATGTGGAAGTTGCTGGAGATCCCACGTGGTCTTCTCAATTATCCAGGGCTATCGGTGTGTTCTTTCTCTGTGAGAAAAGCAACTGCCAGAGGAGGTGATCTGATGATTTAAGAGGGCTGTCTGCTGCAATTTGTATTTATTGCCAATTCTGCAGGATGTTTCTCTGAAATCTTTCAGAGTTCTTTCGGAGTCAGGAATTAAGTCAAGTTTGATTCAAGGAGGTGGGATTGTTAAAAAGCAATACCTTCTGGAATGAGATGGATTCCAGAAACTGAGAGGATCTGAGCATGAAAATGGAAGTTTTTCTATTCTATCTTGTACCTTTTGAGTCACTTGATCCATCATCTGCAGTGATGCCCCATCCCTGGAAGTGTTCAAGGGCAGGTTGGATGGGGCTCTGAGCAACCTGGTCTGGTGGGAGGTGTCCCTGCCCATGCAGAGGGGTTGAAACTAGATGATCTTCAAGGTCCCTTTCAACCCAAACCATTCTGTGATTTTATTCTATGATGATTTGCAGATGCATCATTCAAGGCTGTGAGCAAACAAGTTAGGGAGTCCTGGTAGCAGAGAGGCAGTGTTTTTGTGATGACAGGAGAACGTGTCCACGTTACTCTCTCTGTTGGGTATGCTGTCCAATGCCAGCATTCCAGGCTGTATATGGCAACTCTTCTTCAGCCTTTTGATCTCTGAAAGGATAATAGAAAAAACATGCCTCTATTTTTGGGCAATACTATTAGAGCTAAAGGTTAACATAAGTGAAGAGCAAACCTTTGTTTATTGTTTTGTTTTTTTTAAATGAGGCTTTAACTCAGATGCAAGTACTCTTTAATCTTTCATACTTTTTTCCAGAAGTAATTTAATTCCAAGTGACATAAACACATCTTTTAATCACATACCCATTGTTGTTCTTCACAAGGTTTTAGCTGTAAAGCTGGCTTTTTAGGTCAAGGTAAATTGCTTTTCATCCTGGATGTGTTCTTGCCATAGCAGAGGTGCAAAATGCTAGTTAGAGATCCAAAAGCTTTTGATAGAGCATTTGCAAATGTTACACTGGGGCTGGTGACCCGAGGTGATGACTTAGTGACTAGAAGCCCAGTGTTTTTTAACTTGCTACTAAAAGGCTGCCTTTTTTTTTTTTTAATGCAAAAAGATGCTTAGAACTGCTAGCCTAGATGATGAATTGCCAGCCTTTGTGTGCTCAGTAAGTACACCTTCCACTGAGCCTTTTGTGTTCCCTTCAGCCCTTCTGTCTCCTACACAGCAGCTGCTGATTGTTACCTATCAGTCTTACTGCACCTGTGGGACCATTCTAGAAAATGAAGTCGTTTAAATGCAAAAGTAGAAGGTACAAAAGGTTACAGAAAGTATTTGCTTTTCTAACCCAGTGTTTGTAGAGCCTGCAGGTATCCCTTTATTTCCCCTTGAAACAGGATGATTTTTAACCTCTTTACTTTGTGAAGTTGACAGAAACATCCTCCCGATATGCAAGAAAAATTTCTGGCACCACAGCCCTGCAGGAGGCACTGAAGGAGAAGCAGCAACACATCGAGCAGCTCCTGGCAGAACGGGACCTGGAGAGGGCAGAAGTGGCCAAAGCCACCAGTCACGTAGGGGAAATTGAGCAGGAATTAGCACTGGTTCGGGATGGACACGACCGGGTAAGAGGTGTTGCTGTTTGTAAAATAGGGGCTTTAAGACAATTGACTTAATTTCCAAACTTGTGTTTTCTTATTGGAAGGTCTGGGAGTAAGAGATGTTCTAAAGCTAAATAGTCCATACCCACGAGATCTTCCTTATGGGAGCTTTGGCTTGATGAGACAGCAGATCTGTTTTATTTACCTAATTTTGAACTTGTCTGCACACCTCAATAAGCAATGGTTTTATTATGTGCATATTTGAGTAAGACAACATTCCTCTGCCTTGGCCCATCACTAGACTATCATTACTGAGGTACAGACATGTAACTTGGAAAAAAAATCCAAGATTTTGTTCTTATTCTTCCTGCTAATTAGCATGTACTGGAGATGGAAGCAAAAATGGACCAGCTACGAGCCATGGTGGAAGCTGCTGATAGGGAGAAAGTGGAACTTCTCAATCAGCTTGAGGAAGAGAAAAGGTAATTGAAACTGTATTTATAACTGTCTTAAAAATAAACTTTGCATTAAAAGCAAAATGCTGTGGTGGCTTGGAAATATGAAACAGATTCTGAGTAATGCAAATTTGGATAATTATTGTATAAAATGTTTGTTAAAATTAGTAGTAAACTCTCAGGTTTGTGGAGGGAAAGCCAGAGAAACTGGATTTTTTTAGAAGCTGTAACTGTTGTTTGTAGCTGTATTTCATGCTTCTCATGCCTATTGTTATTGCTTTCTGTTATGAAGGATTTTATTCCTACTCATATGAAATGAATGGATGGTGCCTGATCTTCTCAAAACATTCTTCTTCCACTTCAAAAGAAAATTTGTATAATCTCATTTCCTGACAGTTTTGGATTAAGAATTTACAGTTGCTTCTCTTGTGAATAATTTATTATACTAGTCATGTGCTTCTAGGTAGGGTCTGTCTCACAGGAAAATCAACAAAGCCATTAATTTTAATGGCTTTTCTAATTGCTTTTTGTAAGCACTTGAAGAAGGGAACTGAGATGACCAAATAGGTGAAGTGAGGTTAGGAAAGGAGATAATCTGATAAATTGTTGGGGCAAGGTTAGGAAATAATAATGTTTTGGTGGATTTGGATGCTTTTGAAAGGCATTCCTGTTGTGAGTCTGTGTTGTAGACTTGTGTGTGCCCCTGAGCTCAGGTGTCAGCTTCTGAGAAGCCTCCTTCAAACTAGGAATCACAGAAAATGCAATGGTAGGCCTTGGCAATTTCTTTACAATTGTCATGTTGCCTTTTTATGGGAGCAACTCTCACTGAATTTGCAAGACAAGCAGAGTTAGCTCTGGAATTGTTTGTATGTTCTCTGCAAAATAATGCAGTGGGCTTTTAAATTTAAAATTTGAAATAAATAGGGCAGCTTTGCAGCAGCTGCTGTGGCCTGGCTGTGGCTGCAGACCTGCTTGTGCTGAGTGCCAGGTCGGGGCTGGGGGGAATGTTTCACTGTGCCCTTGGGGCTCCCCTTCAGCCCTTTGCCAGGCAAACCTGCAGCTGGGCAAACATTCTGTGGCTTCACAGGAGATGTTTGTCCTTCCTCCCAACCACTTCAGCCTTTATTACTTTGAAAGGTCTCTGTAATACGTTTTTGACTCAGTCTCATCAGGGACTTGAAGTCAAATAATCTTTAATCCTCTGTTTCCCAAAGGACACTGGAGAGAAGCACTCCCAGTAATACTGTCCTTTTTATTTTAGACATCCATCACCTGTAACTCCCTTGGATGCCAACATTTCTGCACCTGCAGCCAGGCTGCAGGCACCAGAGGAAAGAAGACATGCTTGTCTCTTTCTTTGCATCATTATTGTTGAAAGAGTCAAGGGCAAAAGGGGGAGATCTGGCCCCTTGTTCACTGGGGTGTATCAGAGTCAGGGCAGGGAAGAAATAACTTCACCAATTTTCTTTTAAGCCATACTAGCTTCTCACTTCTGCCTTCCCATTCCAATTTTCCTGTGTGTGCAAGGCAGAGTTCCTGCCTGTGCTCCCCTTCTGCATCTTGCAGTTCATCTTGGCCTGTCAGTTGTGATGCATGTTGGCCAATGCACTTCTGGAAAGCCCAGGGGTATCTGGGATGTGTCCTGGTGTTCTGGTGGTTTCTCAGGTGAATGGTGAGATATACAGAATGTGAGATCAAGCCTGTTCATTTAGGTCACCTTGTTTGAGGGTGTGCAGAAGGGTGAGAGAATGAGAGAATCAGTGATGATTTAAAGATTTCCTTTTAACTGATCAGAAATTGCAAGAAAATACTACACAGAGCTTCAGGAGGTCTGATGCTTTACTTTGGCAGGGGTTGTGTTTTAAAGACAACAGGTCTCATTCTCTCTTAGGCTTTCTGTGAGGGATTTCTCCTTGGTGTGTCTGGCAGTGTGGGGTTACAATCAGAATGATTTCACTGCAGTTCTGATTTCCACTGAACAGTGAACTTAAAAGCCTTTTCTTTCAGCATTACCTGAATTTTATTGAATTGTCCCCACAGGAAAGTTGAAGACCTTCAGTTCCGTGTGGAAGAAGAATCCATTACCAAAGGAGACCTGGAGGTAAAATATATCCAGCTTTGTAAACAGGACATATAGTAGGACACAGGAATGCAATCAGTTTGGATCAAGTGTGCTGTTCTCTAGAGGAGAAAGGCAGGAATGATTAATAGGCACAATTCTGGTCCAGGCATATGCAAAACACATGGAAGTGATTCCCAATTCTGCAATCCCTGAGTAACTAACTGCCCCAGAACTACAGGATTGCACCCTTCCCTGGGGCACACACTTCAGCAAGGGCTGTGCTGTGAAACAGCTGTAGTTGTTCAGAGTAATTCAATTAATTAATAGAAAACTATTTTTTAATTATTAATTTCTATTCTATCTTACTAATGTTTTTGAAGTGTCTTAAAAGTAACCACCAACACAGAGTCATTTTGAAGTTATGAAATTGCAAGTTAATGTTTGTGCCTTTTGCAGACAAATATTGAAGACTAGTCCTGTTTGTCTTCAATCAATTTTGTGAATACTCCCTATACTTTCTTTACAGAAGATTGATTAGCAAAGAAGGTTTTGTCCTGAGGGTTATTGTACACAAAATCTAAACTGCAATTTTTGTCTTTCTACTTTTTCTATAACTGTAACACTGAGCTAAACCTCAGTATGTTATTGCACAGTCAGAATAGGAAACATTTAATGAAGGATTGTTCTCAGAGATTTGAATCCTGCCAATATTTATTCCAAATTTCAAATTCAAAAGCAAGATACGTTTTAGTTGTTCTACCCTGTAGTTGTCTAATCAGAACAATATTAGAACTTCTTGCACAGCACAAAGTACAAACTTAATTAACTGGTGTTCCTGTGAACCACTGATGATCAAAGTGCTAGCCTTACAAAAATTATTCATTTCATATAACATTTCTTTTATTTTAGTCTTCATTCATTTTAAGATACCTATCTAGGCTCTTCATAGAAAGCTCCTTTTATTGTTTAGTCCATGGAAAATGTTATTTTTTTATTTTCTGTTAAATCAGTCGATAGTCATGGCAGACCATCCTAAAGACTGGTTTGTCAGGCTGCGTAATTTAAGAGTTTAAACTGAATTCAAGATGATGAAATGTATCCTGTTGTTTGTGTTGCAATGATAGTGCTAAGTGTGCAGGTGAAATATTTTTGTTTGTTTGTTTTTTAATTTTACTGATAGCGAAAGAGGCAGATTTCGGAAGACCCAGAAAATGTAAGAGGGCACGTAAATGTGCAGAGACATCCCATGTTAACAGATTGTGTGCAGAAAACGCTTATACTGATTCACTAACTGCATAATCTGTTATTGAAACATTGACTCTAGTATCTGTGTGCATGTTGCTTTCAGAGCAATTACAACATTTAGCCAAAGAATGTGTGTAATGACTAAACGTTGTGATCCCCATTAACTGCAGAGAGGGCAAATGTGTCATTAGAATTCCCTGAGCTCAGACCCTGTGCAGCTAATGAAGAGTGTAGGAGCTTGCAGGAAGTGACTGCCCAGGATCCTGTAAATGTATTTCATTTAAATGCAGGATTTGAGTCGTTTGCTTCCCAAAATCCTGCATGCTTCCCTACGGGCTCCTACTGCTGTTCAATAGATGCAGTGTGTCATTAGCTGATGAGTTTTTGAGGGGAAAAAATTGTTATATTCCCCACCTCCCCTTACGTGTTTCATCTTTGTGCTGTGAAATGCTGAGGGGAGAGATGATTTAAAAAATCTGTGTGTAAAGCTCTCTGGTGTTACTGTATCTTCACATAGCTTCTCTTAGCATTATGTAGGAAGAACATGCCACTGGGTAACAGAAATTGCCTTACAAGATGTTTAAGCAGCCCTGTTGTTTCCCCAGCTCAGAATAGTGGCATTTAAAAGCCCTCTCTTTGATTGGAGTCAGGAAAATGTATCCCAGGCTGTCCCTCTGCTACATCCCCAGCCAAGCTGGGAAGTTCTCCAGACTGAAACTGGTTTCCTGCTGTGCATTCTTAGGTGTTCCTTTTGCGAAGCTACTTCAGCGAGCTGGGTGTCCTCTATTCTTCCAATCAGGCTCACGGTGTGTTAGAAGTAAATCTGCATGTGCCCTTCCTTTCTCTTGTTGTGTGCACTCCTTGTTTAATCCTATCTTTACTCCTGATTTTCCCTATCCTGATTTTTTCCATTAAAAATTGACATCTTCACTCTCTGAAGGAGAGAAGTGGGTGATCAGTTTGTGGGCTTTATAATCTCAGTTGTGGTCTGTGGTTCTTCCCCCAGCACAAAGGGACTGGAGGTCTTCTTGCCCCTTATCCTAGACTAGTTATCAGCATTTATGGCTTCAGCACAATTGCAGTTTCACCTGTAGATGGAGAAGGTAACAGGTTTGTTTTGAAGTGAAAGAGCAGCTGGAATACAGAAATGCTGAAGGCAGCTGATGACTGGTCTCTGAAGTCTGTTTGAGAGGAATTCTTTAAGGGTCAAGGCAGAGTAAGGCTTTTCCCATTTTCCTGTCACTCTTCACCTAACAGTGAAACTTTAGAGAAGGTGAAGATGCTCCCTTTGTTGGTTGGTTGTTTTTTCTTTTCTGTTTTTATCTTCCATTCAAGCTAATTAAGGTTTACAATCAAATTTCTTTTCTTTTTATAGTGTTCTCCTCAGTTTACTGTGCTCTCTTCTCAAAGAGAAACATAATCATTTGACATTTCTCTCTAGGTGATCAGGAGAGAAATTTGAGTAATTCAAAATTTTGCAGTGATTTTTACCTCAGGGAAACTGGGGCTGTCCCTTGGAAATCAGACTTGTTAAAAGGATAATCCCTCATGCTTTAGGAGGGGAAAAGGGTGTCCAGCAGAGATCTCTGGAATATTTTTCATTAATCTTTTACTTCTATTTTGGTAGGATTTGAACTTATTTCCCTTTGTAATATAAGAGATAGGATTAAAGAAAGCTCAGTAATCAGTGATGATATATCTGACCTTGGGAGTAGTAAAGCAGTGGCTATAAAATTAATAATCAAAGTGGTTTGGGTTTTATGTAGCATAGGCAAACTGAAGGTTTGAAGGTATTTTGCAAAGTCATGCAGGGAGAATTTTGCAAGATTTGGCATTTCTTGGTTTTTAATAGATTCCTTTGGTGAATCAGAACAAGGAAGGTATGAATGCTCAATTTTTAAAAGCAGATGACTTTTCAGACTTAAGAGTTTTGTGGTGGATATTATACCCAACACTAACCTGTCTGAGAGAGGGGACCGATGATAGCCACTTACAAAATATTGTCATTTCCCTTAGAGTACTTGGTTCCATTTTCAAAGGTTGTGGCAAGCAAAAATCATAATCCATGTTCTGATGGGTCCCCCATATACACTGAAGAGCTTCCACTAATGGAGAACCAAACCTGCCATGGAATTGCAGATACGACACCAACCTAAGAAGCAAATTTTAGCATTTGTGGATTTTAGTATTTTGGACCTCTTACCTACATAGTAGAACAACCAGCTGTTTTTAGCTGGAAAAATGTTTAAAAAATGGAAGCTGCCAGATGTCTGCATGGTTTTGGGAAAGGAGAGAACTTGATGCTGCCAGAAGGAACACTGTGATTGGAGGAGAGCAGGCCTGAAGCAAAACAAGAGGGTCATCCACATCCCACTTGCTCTGCAGAGACTACATAAGATCTTTAGCTGCTGCAGCTGGTCTGGAGACAGTGCTAATCAGCTTGTCACTCTATAAATAACACAGTTCTGCAGAGGTTTTAAAATACCTTCTTCCACAGCTCAGAGGAGCAGCAGTGTCCTGCCAGCTGTGCGCACTGCTGTGCCTTTGGCAGCCACGTGGAGTGACTCCCCCATCTTCCTGCCTTTTGGGAGTGTTTCAGTCTGGTGTTCAGTGGGTGGCTGCTCAGGTTCAGGACTCTATTCTGTTAATTGTAGTTCTTGGGGCTTGGGGGTTCTGTGTTACTTAGTTCTGCAGTCAATTGACTGGCAGATAAGCTGTGTGGAGAGTGTTCATTGAGACTGATGGATGCACCTTCAGTTAATAAACACATGATTTGGTCTTGTGGACAAGCACCTTCCCCTCAATAGAGGCAAGCCCTGAGAAGCTGCTCTTTTTGGCAAAGACACTGTGAAGCAACTATAGACATTCATAATCCTTTTATTTTGAATTGTTCAGTAACTTTCAACTAACAGGGCTGTGTCAGGATTGGCATGATGCTTGGATCTCAGCACTTCAGGAATAAGCACCTGGTTCTTACCTCTTTCTTTCTTTTTTCCTCCCTTTTCCTCACTTCAGAGGTGCAGGTCAGATTTGAATGAGCTGCTGGTCTTCACTGCATCTCTCAAACTTCAGGCTATCTTTTGGGCATCTGGGAGGGTATGAAGCCAAATACCCAATATTCTGTGTTCTTGTTAAAAATTCTACCTCTTTGTAAGCAAAAGGCAGGAGGTATCTGCTCAGTTTCATCTGCTTCCTGCTTCTCTTTAGGAACCTGCTTACAAGATCTTACTTTTTATTCTCCTTCCACACCTTTTTCAGTATATTTAGACTACAGCAACCCTAGAGCATCCAGACTGGTTTCCTTTTTTGCCTGGTTTTGGAGATTCTTGTTGCTTGCTTCCTTCCTGAAAGAGGAGGACAGGAAGAACCTAGGAGGGTTCTGCAGTTATAGACAACAATTCTCTTTCTGTTTCTATTCCAATAATTCATACCATAATGACAAATGAACCTTAATGTTTCCATTTCTTGGCCAAAAGGATTTTTGTGGCTGAGCTTGCCCAGGGAAGTTGTGGATGCCTCCTTCCTGGAAGTGTTCAAGGCCAGGTTGGGTGGAGCTTTGAGCAACCTGGTCTAGTGGGAGGTATCCCTGCTCATGCAGGAGGCTGGAACTAGATGATCTTTAAGGTCCCTTCCAACCCAAACCATTTCATGATTCTATAAGACACAGCTACTATTTGAAAAAGAACAGAAAAGCTAAAAAGTTGTGATTTGTTACATGAGCTTCAGTGGTGAGTTTTTGTCCCCTGCTTAATAATGAAATTATTTTAAAATAGCTTTTATTAAAGAATAAAGTTAGTGAGATGGCAAGGAAACAGACATCATCCTGTCAGAACAGGTATAGGTGTATATACACATGTATTTTTTACATAACTATTCTAATTTGTGCTGAAAACCTCATGTACTGATAAATAACTTCTACTTGGCTGCATGAAACTTTTTTTGTTCATGTTTCTTTGTTTGTGATTATCTTATTTTTTTTACATTTAAATTTTTTTTTTCCACGTCAGTCCATTTACACTTTCAGTCCATCCTTCTCATCCATAGCATTTCCCTGCTCATTTTATCCACTGCATCTTCTCTGCTCATCATTGGTAGAAGATTCTGGCAGCACGGCCTGCATGTGGCTCCCTCCTCTTGTGCTGGCATGTGATGGTGGCACCGTTGTGTTCTCTTCCTTTCCCTTTTTACTAACAGACGCAGACCAAACTGGAGCATGCCCGCATTAAGGAGCTTGAACAGAGCCTGCTCTTTGAAAAGACCAAAGCTGACAAACTCCAGAGGGAGTTAGAAGACACTAGGGTAATCGTTTTCACTATTTAAATAACAAGACTTGATTTGTGTTGTGGAAGATTTCTGATGACACAGTCTGTTGGGGGTAACACGTGCTGGAACAGGTCCTTGCTCCTGCCACGATCAGAACCTGCTGCAGACATAGCTGGAACACTGTAAAAATTAGCATTAATTCTGAGCTTCAGTGTGGAGTGTGTGTGTGCCTGTTGTGTGTATGCTCCTTTCCTCAGAAGAATTCAGGTAAGATGTCTTAAAACTGCAAAATGAACACTTGAATCCAAGTCAGAAGTGGCACGTTACACTGGGAATTGACATGAAGGAACATTCAGTGGTTCCTTTTTAGAAGCAGCGCAGCTCATGAAATAAAAACAAAAGTAGAGATCCACTGTGCCAAAGCTTTTAACACAAACTTTGTCTTTGGGGCTTGGTTTCTGAGGTCCTAACTAGTTGTTGTACTACTTGCTTTGCTAAAGCGTGCTTGGCAGTGGCATTTAGTCTGGTTTTTTTTCCACCTATGACACAAATCTTTTCATGGATACCTCAGTAACATTAACAATACTGTTCCCTGTCACAGCATTATTGAACAGAGTTTGTCCCAGGTCAGGAGCTGAGCAGATGTCAGTTGTTAAGGATAGTGACATATTCATGCTCACATGTGTGGCTTTTCTTGAAGCTGAGGTAGGATGCACTTTACAAACCCAGGAATGTTCTCTGTAATAAAGTACTTTTGACGAGCAATTGCAGGTAAGTAATATCTTTTGCATGATGATGGTATGATAAGGAGGTTGAAACTGTAACTTCCTTATTAGAAATAATTGTGGAAGCTCTTCATGCTTTTCCTTACTGCAAACTGCTCCAACAGTGAAGAGCTCAGATAATGTGAGGACACTTTTTCAGAGGAACAATGGCGTGGGTGTAGAAGGAGTTTAAAAGGATTTGGAGGATAAAAATGTGTTTGTATTTTTCTGGCATGAGATTAATTTGGAAGCAATTTCTTGAATGAATAAAGACCTCAGGGTTCTCTGTTCTTTTCCCATCTGCTTTAGAATGCTTCTGAGAAAAATTTTGTCAAACATCAATTAAAAAAATAAGCACAGTTTGTAAGTTGCTGTTTCTAGATAACTTTAAAAAATGCATTTTACTAAATTCCACCTTTAGAGATGATATAATAGGCTTGTAAGACAAAGATGGGGACTTCTTATTTTTTAAGCAATGATTTATACATAAATGAAACAACAGTTGACCTTATTTCACAGACTTACATGAAAAGCTTTTGTAAGCTTTTGATTTACTGAAGTTTCTGTAGAATTTTCATAGAAATAGGAGTTGGCAAAGAAACTCAAAGGTGTTCTGATCCCAAACGCTGGTACGAACAGACTGATGGAGTTAGTCTGCAACACTTCTTGGTTTCTTTTCAGTGGGGCCTCAGTGTCCTTGCATGAAACAAACCTTTTCTAATTCCTTCTTCTTTTCTTACAATGCTGGTGATCACAGGTGGCCACGGTGTCAGAGAAATCTCGTATCATGGAGCTAGAAAGGGACCTTGCACTGCGGGTGAAGGAGGTGGCTGAGCTGCGAGGGAGGCTGGAGTCCAGTAAACACACTGATGATGTGGACACTTCTCTGTCTTTGCTACAAGAAATAAGTTCTCTGCAAGAAAAAATGGCAGCAGTTGGCAAGGAACATCAGAATGAGCTGAATTCACTGAAAGAGAAGTTTGGAAGTAGCGAAGAAGCACTGCAGAAAGAGATCAAATCACTTTCAGCTTCAAATGAGAGAATGGCAAAAGAAAATGAATCCTTGAAGACAAAGCTCGATCATGCCAACAAGGAGAATTCAGATGTGATAGAGCTGTGGAAATCCAAGCTGGAATCTGCAATTGCCTCCCATCAACAAGCAATGGAAGAACTGAAAGTGTCTTTCAGCAAAGGTGTAGGGGCTCAGACAGCAGAATTTGCAGAGTTAAAGACTCAGATTGAGAAGATTAAATTAGACCATGAAAATGAAATCTCAAATCTAAAACTGAAGCAGGAAAATGAAAAAGCTCTGCATTTAAAAGAGATTGAATCACTGAAAGCAAAACTGCTGGCAGTCACAGAGGAGAAAGAGCAAAACCTGGAAAGCCTGAAGACCAAACTGGAAAGTGTGGAAGATCAGCATCTAGTAGAAATGGAAGACACTTTAAACAAATTACAGGAAGCTGAAATAAAGGTAAAGGAGCTAGAGGTACTGCAAGCCAAGTACAATGAACAAACCAAAGTTATTGATAGTCTTACACCACAGATCAAAGCTGCTGAAGAAAAGCTTTTGGACCTTGCTGCACTTCAGAAAGCCAATTCTGAAGGTAAATTGGAAATCCAGAAACTTAGTGAGCAGCTTGAGGCAGCTGAGAAACAAATTCAGAGTTTAGAGACTGAAAAGGTTGAAGGAAGTAGCAAGGTTTGTATCAACACCCATCCTTTTATTTTCACTTTGCTTTTCCTTTACATTTGTACTGTTCTAATCTGCTGTAGCAAATACATCACAGAAACAAAGAGTTTTATTGAATGTGTATCTTGGTACCATCCAAGGAGGTTTAGAGAAAGTGTTAACTGGGTCCTGGATCTCAACAGGTTCCTAGTGCTTGGTCTGCACCACTAAGCAAAAGGAAGGTGAAATTCTTCCTGCATTTCTTGCTGCAGGTCTCAGCATCTCTGCTAAGAGCTTCACACTGTGGAAAAGTTAGTTTGTTGGCTTATTTTAGAGAAGAATCCACCCATCATTTAAATAAGTTTTTAACCTTTGATGGTAGAGCTATTCAGATAGAGTGAGATGGGGCTCTGTGGAGAAATATCTCCTCTCTACCTATGAGAGACTACAAGATGATGGAGGAGGCTGTTAAAGACAAAAGGAAGCAAAAAGGATCCTGGTGGAACTTTTCTTTAGGACAAGGGTGTGCAGTGATGTTCTTGGGCCCTGTTTCACAGCATTCTTGAAGCACAGTGTGAGATTTTAACAAGATTATTCCTAATTTTGGATGAAATGTCTCTTTAAAGTTTGACAGAATGGCATTCAGGACTTGGAAATTATTCTGCCACTGCAGCTAGGAATGAAAGTGCTAAGATAGCACCTCATTGTAGGGGTTCCCCACATCCCCAGCCTGTGCATGACCTGACAAGTTAGAGCAGGAGTTGTAAGAACAGTGAGAAAGTCACTGGGAGTAGCTTTCCTAAACCCTTCACAGATGGTTCCAAGATACTGGATTTCTGTGGACCTTTGACTCTTACTTTTGAGG